TGACGTAGGCACTATTTCCAGCAACAGTGCTGTGTTTTCCGTCAAGCACGTGTTCACCTACAACAGCGTTGTCTACCACTTGGGCGAGTTTTCCGAAGGCGAGTTCTCCACTGGCGACTCGGTCGTCTTGTCAGTGGACGAGGCAGTGCGTCGACAGAACGCCAAGTGCCACTCGGGCGGGCACACAATCTTCAGCCTCATCAAGGACTCGCAGTGGCCGATGGTCGAGAAGAAGGGGCACCACTTTGCGGATGGCGCCTATGTGGAGTTTACTGGTATCATGCCCGACGAGATAGACAAGGACAAGTTCCAGGCCATGGTCGACAAGGTCATTAGCGACAACGTCGAGGTGACGGCGTATACGAAGGAGGATGGACTGAGGTATGTCAAGGTGGGCGATTTTGTGGAGAATCCCTGTGGCGGCACCCACATCAAGAGCACTGGTGAGCTGGGCAAGCTGGTCATCCGCAAGATTGCGAGGCGCAAGGGCCAGAACCTGACCAAGATTTCATACACCGTGTGAGCTTCTCGTAGCTATGTACTCCTCCCCTCCACCTGCATTTATGTGGGTGGGGAGGATACTGATGGCAATACACAGCAACAAAAGATACCACATATACTACAACATATCTTTCAAAATGCTCCTTTTTAATGCTGAATCCGTGCTCCTCATTTCACTCGCGCTTGTCTCGCCGGGCGATCATCCACTTGAAGTACTCGTATGTAGTCCAGCTGATGGCCGTGGCAGGCATGTTGGCAATGACTCTGGGGCGAGCGCCGCGGAAGAACCCGTTGACGCCCTGCTGCTTGTAAATAATCTTCGCCGACTGAATCATCGAGCTCGCATTCCTGACCTCGGGGTCAACCGACGCGCCGCGCGTCTGCAGCAGCGTCTTACAGCAATCGATCGGGGTTGTCAGTGCCGCGGCCACGGCGCCCGCCAGGCCACCAGCGACAACGTGTGTCAGGGGCGAGTACGAGCCATTGGGGTTGAGTGTTTTGCGGAACAGGTCGTAGCAGCCGAATTGGATCGACTGGAACGGGATATTCATGATAAGCGTTGTCGGGTAGGAAACGTAAAAGGCGCGCAGACCCTCCTTGCGCATGACCGTCGCTGCGCAGTCGGCAATGTTGCGGTAGCTCGATCCAACAAGCTGCATGCGCTGCTTGATCACGTCGAACGGGTTCATCAGGGCATCGCTGACGACTGTCGCCACACCGCCGGCAGCACCTACACAGGATATAAAAATGATTTGAGCTGTGCATATGCCAAGGATAAAACGAATTCTGCGGGTATTTTCTTTTTTGGGGGGAAGGAGGTGGAAACCTTACCTGCAGCAAGAGCGGTGGTTTCGCCAGCCGAGTTCGACAGCAGCTTCTTTGTTTGTTCGTAGGTGGCAAAGTATACCGCATGGGCAGGGCCAGCACCAAGAACGACTGACATGACTCCCCTCCAGAGCGTACGCATGCCCTCTGTGGTAGAAATAATCTTAATTGCGTGTGTGACGCCGCTGTAGACGACCGACGACGGTGATCCGACCACTTGCATGCGAGTCTACAAATACAGGTGGATGGTTTAGCGACGGGAAGCTGCTTTTGAATCAAGGGCAGCTCTAAAACGACAGCCTACCTTTACAATGTCGAACGGGTACATGACAGAGTGCTCCATGATGCCGGCAGCAGCACCCGCAATCAAGTGCATGGTCAGCGGGGACGTCTCTGGCAGCTCCTCGTAGTCGTATTCGATGGGCTCGGCAGCGCGAATTTTCTGCTGCGTGGCGATTTCGTTCGGGTGCGACATTTTTCTGTTTGCTTAGTGTAATATGGAGTAGAAATTAGTTTCTGCTTGGTGCGTGTTGAATGCGTAATACAAGATAAGAAAACGGGAGAGGGAGCAGCAAACAGAAAAGTGCGTATACAGAAAAGTAGGTGGAGAAGCAAAACAGATAAGACCTGCTGGTTTCGAGAGGGTTTTTAACCTACTGCACAACACCCGTCGACCACGACGGAGGAAAACTGAAAATTTTTCTAGGAGAACGGCTCCGCCCTTCTTGTGAGGATTGACCCAGTGCAGCTGAAAAGTCCTCCCGTCCAATTGTGACGCACTTTTTCTTATAAGATTTTGTCCCGTTGCATCAGATTTCTGGCCCCAAATTTCTCGCTCATCCCGCCCATCCCGCTCATCCAGTGCTATTCCCCGCAGAAGCGTCTATCAGGCGGCACTCAAGCCGCGCCCAGTTGCACAGCATACCGCATCCTCCGAGAAGTGGACAGATCGGTCCTCGGGTCTTCCGAAGCCGCTTGATTACTGTAACCACAGAGCCCGCTTACTAAGGCAATCACTAGAGTGGATGAGGTGCATCATGTTGAAAGACGCTTCAAAAAACGCGGCTCTGAACCGGCGCTCTGTCGATCTCGCATATTTTCAGCTGCCAGGAATGTGACCCAACTTCGGTCCCCATGAATCCCCGGCGTGCCTCGGATATGTGCGGTTCGCTAGGTCTGCGGTGGCGGGTAGTTTAATTAGTCCGTCTTTCGGGCAGGACAGCCTACAGGTGGGGATATTGCCGGCCGCACACTGATTTCGTGGATAACTCAGCTTCAGCATGTGCCACCACCAGGTCCAAGAACACGTAGCACCATGTCATTACATGCCGCACCGCCCCATGCAAGTATCAGACATGCCATCTCTAAAATTGCCACGTGACGTGCTAGCTAAATCCCATTCACTAATCTGTTCCTGGATTTGGCACAGGCTTGAGGCGGGGTTTATGAAAACAGGAGCCACCGAATCATCGACTCGCCTGAGCCGCGACAACTTCCACTCACCATCGAGGCGCTGCCAATTTTGCCTTTCTCCTTTTTCAAGAAAATCATAGGCTCATTTACTGTATAATATTATCATTCGCATGAGCTCAGGAATTAAGAAGAAGGAAAGAAAGCCAATTCCGTCGTTCTTGCGCCCAGCAGGCCTCCGTCCGGGCCAGGCAGCGCCTGGCAGCGACCTGCGTCGCCGGCGCCCTCTCCCGCCTCCCAACCGGGCCAAGCCCAAGAGTGAAGACCGGCCTCTGGCTGCAGCACCGCCCGAGGACAAGCGTGCGTGCACCGACTACCGGCTTGTATCCTCGGCACACGAGCGCACACACAATGTGATGCGTTTCCTCACCTCCAAGCCCGTGGACGTGACCAAGTTCACGCAGCCAGTGAAGCTGACGCGCCTGAGCCGCACGTACTATCGCCGCAAGGCCGAGAAGGCGCGGGCAGCAGCTGAGGAGAAGCGCAAAGAGGAGGAGGCGAAGCGCGCAAAGGAGACTGGGATGGAAATTAAGGAGGAGGAGGAGCAGGCGCTAGCCGCAGGGGAGCCAGTGGATCCAAGCAAGGACCGGCCCAAAGCCGACACGTCGATTATTGCGCCGTTTGGCGGGGCAACGCGCAACAAGCAGATGCTGTTTAAGAAGCGCACAAAGCAGGTGTTTTTTGCTGACGAGGAGCAGCGCCGGTTGAATATCGAGGAGGCGCGGCCGTGGGTGCTCGAGGACTATGACGAGAAGGAGAGTTGGAACGGCACGCTTGAAGGCGGCCAGAAGTCCGACTACGTCTTGTTTGTGCTGATGGATGACGGATTCAAGGTGGTACCGGTGGACCGCTGGTACAAGTTCACGCCCAAGCTCAAGTATCAGACGCTGACGCTGGACGAGGCAGAGGAAGAGCTGAAGAAGGCCGCCAAGAACGAGACACAGAACCGCTGGCTGATGAAGAAGCGCACCAAGCAACAGGGGGAGGAGGACGAGGACGAGGAGCCTGCAGAGAAGCCCACCAAGAAGACGCTGGTCGAGTATGACAATGCGGATGAGTTTGACGATGACGACGACGATGATGATGGCGGCGCACGCAAAAAGCGCAGGCCGACCAAGCACGGCGACGCCGACGAGGTCGACTTTGATGAGGAGTTCGCCGACGACGAGGAAATGGGCGACGACCTATTTGGCAACGAGGATGACGAGGCCGACAAGCAGCAGCAGAAGAACAAAAAGTCTGAGCTCGACTCTGACGTTGAGGAGGAGGACGAGGGCGAGCTTGGCTCGGCGGGCAAGGAGATGAAGAAGCTGATGCGTAAGCGTGAGGAGAACGACGCGTACGACTCTGACGGCGAGGAGAACCCGTACCTGTCGGTGTCAGAGATTGACAGCGACGAGGAGGAGCAGCAGCCCAAGCCTGAGGAGGACAAGAAGGACGCCGTGGCCACCGATGCCAAGCGCGCTGTCCCAGCCAACGCCGCTGCGCCAGCCAAGGAGGCGGCTCCCAAGGCAGCGGTCCTACAGAAGAGCCAGAGCGACATGGCGAACAGCACGTCGGCCAAGAAGCGCAAGCGGCCGATGCCGTCAGCACACAGCCACTCGAATGAGTCGCGCAAGCACACGAAGACTGCGCCCAAGCCCGCCGAGTCGGATGATCTGATCACCGAAAAGGAGGTCATCGAGCTGATCAAGAGCGGCGTCACCACGACCAAGGCGCTGATCGGCAAGGTGCGCAGCAAGCTGAAGGCGAACCCGGCGAACAAGGCGCGCATCCAGACCATCGTCCGGACCGTGGCCATCCTCAAGGATGGGAATTTGTCGCTCAAGAAGCGCAGCTAATGCTGCTGTCGCCGCCTTTCTGGACTGGTGGCTGCTGGATGCCTCTAGTGACTGTGGTGTTTTTGACAGCCAATAATAGGGCAATGCCATGTAAGCTGGAGTGGGCTGCTCGGGAGATGACTGGTTGCTGAGAGTGGACTGATTTGTCGTCACACCACTCTGCAGATGACCCTGTAGGCGGTATTGCGCAGGATAGGGGTGGGAGGCCTGCTGAAGCCTTCTCCCCTTAACTGGCCTGGCCGCGCGTTGACGGGCGATATAAAGCCCAAGTCGGACTCCTGGCCACTGCCTTGGTCAACCTTGTCTTTACATGTCGACTTTTATCCAAAACCCAATTCCTTATCCATAAATTTCTTGTCTGTCATGTCGTATTCCAGCAACATCTCGCCACAGGACATCCCGAACTCAACCCGCGCGCGCGCCGCCAGCTTTGCATCCTCTGCCTCGCCCACCGAGGAGCTGCTTGCCTGCTCACCAACCTACACGGAGGGCTGCGAGCTCTACCCAAAGGCTCTGCGGGACACCGTCAACATGCGCGCTGACGGGGCGGTGCTCGGCGAGCGCGATCCGAAGATCACCAAGGAGGCCGAGAGGCGGCATGCCGAGTGCATCAGGCGCCAGGAGCAGATGGGCGAAAAGGACCACAAGGAGCTGCTGAGCCTGTACCCGCAGGCAGCCAGGAGGGCTAGCGGAAACAGTGCTAGCGAGCGGTATTAAGTAGCGCTCTATTGTAGAATCGTCAAATAAATGTCTGTACTCTTAGTAGAAAGGCGGTGTCAGGGGAATCAGCGGTATTTAATCAAGCTGGAGATTATCAGTGCTGGAGATTGGTGGGGTTATCTCGGAAAAGCCTCAACAGGCAGAAAGGCCATGGCTGGTGCTGCCCGAATCTCTTTGAAAAGCACCTCTCCAATTCAAACCTATTCTATATTCCAATCGAGACTTTTTCTTTGCAAAATGTACCCGCAGCGTATTGCCATTGCCCGTGTTGCCACTGCGCTCGCCCGTACTACTCGTAAGTAGAGAACTATTCGGCACCGGAGCGACACCTTGCAGGATGACTGCTAATTGCACACAACGCCCCCTTCCTAACTTTAGCCGCCCAGCGCTATGCCGGAGCCATGATGATGTCGCGCCACAGCTACGCATCGCACCCAGTGACGAACGTGCACCACCAGCGTACCCCCGCCAACACCACATTCAAGCTGCCCTACCAGACATGGGATGAGCGCGAGGCGACACAGTCCGTCCTTGATTACTCCGCGAGGACTTTCTTCATGACAGAGCTGCTCCGTGGCGCCTGGATCGTGTTCATGCAGTACCTGCGCGAGCCCTACACCCTGCACTACCCGAACGAAAAGGGCCCCCTGTCTCCTCGGTTCCGTGGCGAGCACGCCCTGCGCCGCTACCCGTCTGGCGAGGAGCGGTGCATTGCGTGCAAGCTGTGCGAGGCCATCTGCCCAGCACAGGCCATCACGATCGAGGCGGAGCCGCGTGAGGATGACTCGCGCAAGACTGTGCGCTACGATATTGACATGACCAAGTGCATCTACTGCGGCCTGTGCCAGGAGGCGTGCCCGGTCGATGCCATTGTCGAGGGCCCCAACTTTTGAGAACACGACTGAGACGAGGGAGGAGCTGCTGTACAACAAGGAGAAGCTGCTGGCAAACGGCGACCGCTGGGAGACCGAGATTGCCCAGAACCTGCGGTCGGAGACCATGTACCGCTAAGACGCAAGTCGCATCTTTTCTACGTTTGTCACTAGTTTCAAATATACAGAGCCTTTTTGTTTTAACTCCGCGGGCGAAAATTGGCGGCTTTTCAGATCACAAAAGATAATCACAATCTCGGTATTTGGAGATAACCACTGCCAGAGCGCTTGCTCGCCTGAATTCGGCTCTTAATTGAGACTGCTTGCTTGCTTTTTTACATTATCGCCCCTCGCTTTTTTCGAATTCACAAACACAAAATGATGCGTCCTACGCTTGCAAAGGGTAAGTCTCGGATTCCGACAGCGGGTCGGGCACTGAATCTCGCCCAGAATCGCAATTGCTAACGCTAGTCGTTGTCTGTAGTCGCGAAGCAGCTTGCGCGTCCGGGAGTCGCCGCTCGTTCGTACTCGACAGAGGGTGGCAGCACACGGCAGTACGGCGGCCTGAAGGACCAGGACCGCATTTTCACCAACCTCTACGGCCAGCACGACTTTGGACTGAAGGGCGCGCTGAAGCGCGGCGACTGGTACAAAACCAAGGAGATTGTGCTGAAGGGCGAGGACTGGATCATCAACGAGATGAAGGCCAGCGGCATGCGCGGTCGTGGTGGTGCCGGCTTCCCCTCCGGTCTGAAGTGGAGCTTTATGGGCAAGTCGTCGCCGGGCCGCCCGCGCTACCTGGTTATCAACGCCGATGAGGGCGAGCCTGGGACGTGCAAGGACCGCGAGATTATGCGCCATGACCCGCACAAGCTGATCGAGGGCTGCCTCATTGCGGGCCGCGCCATGTTTGCCAACGCTGCCTACATCTACATTCGTGGAGAGTTCTACAACGAGGCATCCAACCTGCAGCAGGCCATCGACGAGGCGTACAAGGCGGGTCTCATTGGCAAGAACGCGTGCGGCTCGGGCTACGACTTTGACGTCTATGTCCACCGTGGTGCTGGAGCGTACATTTGCGGCGAGGAGACGGCCCTGATCGAGTCGCTGGAGGGCAAGCAGGGCAAGCCCCGCTTGAAGCCGCCATTCCCGGCCGACACCGGTCTGTTTGGCTGCCCGACCACGGTGACTAACGTCGAGACGGTTGCTGCTGCGCCCACCATCCTGCGCCGCGGTGGCTCGTGGTTTGCCGGATTCGGTGCCCCGCGCAACTCTGGCACCAAGCTGTTTGCGATCTCGGGCCACGTCAACAAGCCCTGCACGGTCGAGGAGGAGATGTCGATTCCTCTGCGCGAGCTGATCGAGCGCCACTGCGGCGGTGTGCGCGGCGGCTGGGACAACCTCCTGGCCATCATCCCCGGCGGCTCGTCGGTGCCTCTGCTGCCCAAGCACCTGTGCGACACTGCGGTGATGGACTTTGACAGCCTGCGCGACATGCAATCCGGTCTCGGCACTGCTGCAGTCATCGTCATGGACAAGAGCACCGATGTCGTGCAGGCCATTGCGCGCCTGTCGTCGTTCTACCGCCACGAGTCGTGTGGCCAGTGCACGCCGTGCCGCGAGGGCTCGAGGTGGCTCGACCTGATGATGTCGCGGTTCGTCAGCGGCCAGGCGACCAGCGCCGAGATCGACCAGATCCTCGAGATCACAAAGGAGATGGAGGGCCACACCATCTGCGCTCTGGCTGATGCTGCTGCCTGGCCGGTGCAGGGTTTGATGCGCCACTTCCGCCCGGAGGTTGAGAAGCGCCTGAAGGACTACAAGATCGGCTCGCAGGTCTCCTCGGACGCCAACTACTGTCCTGACCAGACCATCGCCACGCTCTAATTTTCCCTTGGGTTTCTCTTTCCTTGTTTCCAACATACATACATTTTTCTGTCTCAAGCTAGCACACACTATTGCACTGAGTCTACGGTTAAAGGCTGTGCGAGCTACATTCGTCTTTTGTCACAGGTTTCATGTTAGCAATTGCGAATACACACCTGTTGCTTTTGTCACCGTTTGATCGAGGCATTTTGGACTATTTTGTTGCTTTGGCATAGCTGTCAGTCCCAATTCCCTATGTGCACTGAGGTCTACATTGCATTGCCGGACTATGGTGAGTTGAAGAGAGGTCGGTGTTTGACATCCTGAGCGCGGATTCTAACGTTGAATACCGATCTAGCTGTCGCTGCTTTGTTTTCTGCCAAGAGACTCCCTCCTTCCTGCGATTTTGTCTGCTAAAAGGAATGGTATTCCACAAATGAGCGATACGAAGCGAGCCCGTGTTACATGACGGAGTGTTCTCTATCTGGTAGTTGAGCGACAGGGTCCAGATGATATTCACACCAGAGTATTTAGAGCGAGAGAAGTCAGTAATACAGATAGCGGGATATTCAGCTTTAGAGCTGTATCATTTTACGAGCTGCTTGTTTATGACGTGCTATTCCCGAACACTAAGCGGCTGCCGAGTGGCCAAATCATTACGAGATGTGAACAATGCGCTGTCATCGGACTATATGTAGCACCACACTAGACACGACCAAAACAGCAAAGACACATTGTTGTGATCGGCATCAACCATGTAATTGATATTGGCATGAGCTCAGCAATACGCATATATAAGCGGGACTCGCATCGCTACGTTACCACGTTTCTCTTCCTCAGCTTTCTTTTATTTGAATATGATCTCCAAACGGCCAGTTTCTGACAGAGCACTATACAATAACGTGTACCTTTCCCAGACTAGTACTAGGGGCACCGATATTGTGTCCCACTAAAGTAAACTGAGGCGTTATACGCGAGGTTTTGGAATAAGAAGTGAGGAGTATTAAGCGGCTAAACCGGTAAAAAGAAGAAAAAGAAGAGTTCTTCAGAAAAGAGCTCAGCGCCACATAGTCGGTGAGTCGTCAAGGCAGGGGTTTCCTAACACAGTGACTTGCCGATTTGGGACTAACCATATAGTCCATCGACTAATGTCCAACACATAAAATAAATCGGCTAAAGGTAGGGACGTGTGTTCTTGACATTGACCCTCAGCGTCTTCATATGTGAAAAGTCCTTGTAAACTGATCGTTTGCGTGCCTTTGCAAGGTTGTCATGTAGAGCAAACGCATTATATTGCTTTGGTGGCCAAAGGAATACCTCGCGCAGCGTTGGTACTAGTGATGCCAGCAAAATTGTGTACTCACTGATGCGCTTTGGGTCAGACAAGCTGTTGACATGTACTCCAAGTGCAACTAGCCTGTTTCCAATCCTTGCTTCACGCTGAATCCGTCTGATATCCCTTTCCCTTGGCTCAGCATTGCTTACTCCATCAAAGTCGCAAACAAGCGATATCTCGAGGGAAGACAGGTTCGGAAACCTCCATCCTAGGCGTATGAGCATCTCGAGATCTAGTTGCAACCATGGTAGACACAGGTCGCGGATGGTAGAGCTGGGATGGGTAAGGTTGATTGCGGACTGTGAGTTAATGGCTTCCATCATTAACCGGAGGCTTGATGCGCAGGTGGAAAGGTCGCTGATTCTGTCATAAACGAAGCCCAGTGGAAAGCTCCTATGCAAATGACGCAGCTCAAACGTACAGTATATGTCGACCATCCGTAAACAGGGGTACTTGCTGTGGACAAGTGCTTCTCTCCTTACTAGTATCTCGAATAATGGCGCATCAATGGACATCCTCAGTACCTCTAGTTTCTCAGGATTGCAGCGCAAGATCGAGTCGTCACCCAACGGATCCACCCTGTACTGCATATGTGGGTAATCGACGGAAAGGCGTTGTGATCAAGCACTGGTCGTGGTCCATCTTCAGGCTTCCTGAGTGAAATTTCCGAGTCGGCGGAGCTGCTTAAAGATAACAGCAGCTTTTTTGGCTTGTTACAAGCAGCTGCCTGAAATGGCACAGGTCGATATTTTCCAGTTGCAGATCCACTAGGGAGAGGGAGTTGAAGCGAATGACAGAAACTATCGCATAGGTCCATGGTGTGCTTCTAGTTACTGCTATGTGTGTCAGGTTGGTGGGCGCCGGCTGTGCTGAGTTAAAGGGTACCTTCATCGGAATAGACATGTCAGAGATGTCTTGCCCTA